CTGCTCAGCTCGAGCGTAGGATTGGCTTTCACAACGCTTCTGCACATTTTATTGCACACAACCAGGACTGTTGTGTTTTCCAGAAGCTAATAGGGGCTCGTTCTGAGCCCGGCCTGCCTTATCGGAACCACTCCTGCGACTAGGCCAGTAGCACGTTATGCGGTACCGCGGTACGAACTTAGCGTCACGCGATGGCCATGCAGCTGATCACGACGGTTGCCGTCATGCTCGAGCCGCTAGTTTCGGTCTCTCCTTAGACCCTCTAAACAAAACTTTAAGATAACACATCTACAAAGCTGCACAATGCATGGAAAAGTAAAAAGACAACAAAAAAAACTACAGTTTGTAATTTAAAGACACTTACTTCACCAAAAACAGTCGTAACCCTAAAATGAAGAAAATTTACCGGAGTTAACCTTCAAGACACGACACTATGCGTGAAAAGTGTACAAATTTCGCGGGTAAATACAAGGACGGCCAGAATGCAGGAGAAGTATCCCGTACGTAGCAGTCATTGATTTTGCAGTTTTGATGTTAGCAATAGAAATTTAAAAGGGGAAGCCACACAAAACGTTGTTTACTGAGACTCCATGAAGGGTTGTGTGATATATAGAGTGCGCACAATGAATTCCAGCTGGGTAAGTTGGTATATGTAGAACAAAACAACGCAAAAAGGGCAATCATAAAGGAAGGAAACACACAAGGTAGATAATGTAGATAACGTTGTGGCCATATTTGAAAAGCGTGGTTTTGGCCTTAAGTTCAAATTTGAAAAACCTAAGGAACGAAAGCTACGATTCCTGGATCTTTCAATTTCATTTAACCCAAACCATACATGCTAAAAAATTTCACCTTGTTTCTTCTTAGTGTTTTTGAAAGAGGTGAAGAGAGGAATTGCGATTTCCATCCTTTGATCAGCTTTAACCATTTCCTGCGTCCACTCAATCACGAAAAGCCTTACCGCCCAAGTTGAGTGACTCAAGTGGACGGAATTCCCCTCTCAAGTTTCAAATGGAGTGGTGGGAGCTTTTGTCTTTAATATCAAAGGTAGCCAATAAAGTAGGTACAACATTAATAAAAAAAATTCACCAAAATTTCCATACATGCAGAGAATTTTCGCATAACTTAAAAAGGAGTGGCCAATAAATTCGCTCTTCCTGTGGTATTTTCAGCTCCCCCAAAGATGGCTCAGACACCCAGGTTTTTTTTAAATTCCGACAAGCTTACGAAAGAAGTTTTCCAAAAACCCCACAGGTAACCCTTTGTTTCCTGTTCAGTCTGTGTTGTGTACAACATTACACTGACATATGGTAGATGTCGTGTGGGACAGACTGGTCTGTGTGTAAATGACCGCCTCACCGAACATGATCGATTCCTGAAATCAACGGTGGAAAGCCATCTTTCTTTATACGGAAGATATTGTTTGTGTTCATCCTTTCTTCAAGACACGAAAACTATTGGAACATGTAAAGGCAAGGACAGTCATGAAATTCTTGAAGCATCAATTATCAATAATTTAGGAGAGCGTTCCGTTTGTCAGCCTTCTGTGTAAGTCTGTTGGATGAGGAAGCCTTATTTGTGTGAAGGTCCTTTGTAATAGAACTAATTTGTAGTTTGAAATTATGCCATTTTGATGTAGAGTACTTGTGTGTACACTTTCTTTTAAGCTAGGTGTACTCTGCCTTTAAAGTTGTGTCTGTGGCGCGCTCTTATAGCGCGAGCCTTTTCGATGCTTTCATCTTCTTCGTGTATTATATTTCAGCTGCGAGTCAGCGCTTGTGTTTTTCTTTCCTTTGTTCTTCGACTTTGTGCGCTGTTATGTTCAACAAGTTCCCACAGAAAGATCAAACTTTCACCGAACGCAGATTAGGGTAGTGCACCTTAACTGGTGAAAGTTTATAAAGTATAGCCATCTTCCTGGGTAAAATGACACCAACAAACTTGCCAGGGTCAACGTTGGACGGGTTCGACCGAAATAGCGATGCTTCCCAAGACGTGCCGCATCTCCCGATAAATGCACCGTGGAGATGACGAGCTGCGCACTCGCGGCGTCTAGTGGAAGATGGCGCCACGCGTTACAACCATCGCTAAGCCTGGCATGTTTATAAAACGAATTTTTCGCAGGAAGAAAATCGTCAGCTAACGTTCACAACCGCAATGCATATTCGATGAAAGCTGGAGACTTTTTATGCGCATGCGCCAATTTTTCCGGCTCGTTTTAGATCGCAGAGATTCACTGTGGACACCCTGTAGTATGACTTAGCTTACACTCTAAGCCTACCAAAACTTAAACCTCATTTATGAAGGAAACGATCGTCGTCAGTGCATATTTAATTAACTAGCAGATCCTCGCCGCGCGTAGCCACAACCTACTACCGCGCGCGCTGCAAATCGATTGCTAGAAAATGGCTATTAAAGCCTTCTCGTTAAGATACCTCCGACAGAGCGCTTCATTTCGACACAACGCTGAAAAACTCCGCCGAAATATACACACGAACAAAAACTTGGAAATAATAAAACGAAACATGTATGCCAAAAACTTTAGGTTCGCATAATTAAACGCGAATTCCAATCGGGAGCCCAGCTCCGACCCTCACTTCCAACTCCAACGGCTTGATTACCGGCAAATAATCCTCGAGGACGATCATTATTCCAGCGTGGACTCTACCATTCGAAATCTCTCTGTGCTGCTCTGAGCTTTCACATTCTCAAAGCGGACCATCGAAATCTCCCTCTCCTTTCTCATGCCCTCCTCTCTTTCGGACTTTTCTCCCGCTCTCTGTTCAAACTTTAAACCTGCAAGAGTTCGTTGAATCGCATTTATTATTAATGAGGAAATTCGATGTCAGCGGGCTTCTCAATCGGGACGACGCACTGCCCAACTTACAACGGACAGATGAATATAATTTGGCCTCAGGGACAGGTTCTGATATCGTCCGAATTGTTGGGAAAGGGCGCGCGGACTTTGAGCTTAAACCTGGCGACGCAACTTTCGCGCTGCAAAAGTCGTTTCCGATCATTTATTTGTGGGAACGTGCGCAGCACAATACCTCTTTTAAATATAATGCATCCCACCAGATCTTTTTTTATTGTTGGCCAATTTGCAGAACAGTAGTTAAAAGATACAAGTCCGCACAATTCTATTCAGACGTTGTAGGTGAAGTAGTTGAATGCTCGTGAGATTTATATCAGTGAAAAGCACCTGCCAGCAAGAAAAGGAATATTGTTATCTTTCTTACTGACAAGTTTGTTTCATTGAACCAGATGCTACAGGCGCCCTCGATGTAATTTTTTTAAGAGCGCAGACCTTAGACGTTTGCTTCCGCGTTGAGCAGCGTAGCCTTCGCCGTCGACGTAACCGCGCGCGTTGCCTAATGGGACGCCAAAGTTTTCCCGCTAAATTTAGCGGAAAAACTGGATTGGTGTTTAGGTCATGTGACTAGAGTTTTACCGCTAAATTTAGCGGGGAAACTGAATGCGCAGTGTTACATTATGAGACGCCACATACCTACATACCATTTCAGAGTCCCCGCTAAGTTTAGCGGGGAATTGAAATAGTGCTAAGGTCACGTGACGTCAAATTTCACGCTAAATCTAGCGGAGAAATTGAATTTGTTCATAAGTGGCGGCACACGAAGTCATGTGACGTCATTTTCTCCACTAAATCTTGCGGAGGAACTGAATTGGTGTTGAGGTCACGTGGCGTCACTTTTCTAGCTAAATTTAGCGGGGAAGCTGTGGAAGTAGGGGAGGGTATGGAGAAGGGGAGGGTAAGGAGGAAGAGGAGAGGGTGCGCAGGAGGAGGAGGGGAAGGTGCAAGGGAGGAGGAGGAGAGAGTACTGAGGACGAGGGGAAGGTACGGAGAAGGAGGAAGGGAGGGTACTGAGGTGGAGGGGAGTGTGCAGAGGAGGAGGATGGAAGGGTGCGGAAAAGGAGGAGGGGAGGATGCGGAGGAACAGGGTACGAAGGAGGAAGAGAACACGGAGGAGGAGGAGGAGGGTGCAGAACCAGTATGTGAGGAGAGTGATCTATATTTATACAGATTTATATTTTTTTCTGAGATTGTTTGGTATGGTACATCGCAAAAACAAAATACCTCAAGAGACGCCCTCTAACTTCGCATCACGGAAATTTGTAACCGTCTTTTTTTTTTCTTTTTTTTTTCTTTTGTTGCTGCGAAGTTAGGGTTAGGTGAACATCGGCTCATAAAGTTTCTCTTTCTCAATTATCTTTTGATACAGGTAACGTCAGTTTCTCAAACATTTGCATTCTATCCCAACCGCGAGTGTCACATTCTAAGAGAGTTAGAGTATTCTGCAATGCGTAGTTTATTTGCCCGGGTCGAAACACGCAGTTCGCTTTTCTCGGGAACACCCTGTATTCGTGTGCCTTGATACCAAAGAAGAGCAGGCTCATAGTTTTGTCGGTATACCATCCGGGCAACAAAGTTTGGCTCTACAGAATATTCAGAACTTTCCGTTCTCCCTCCCTTTCCCCCCGCCCCCAAAAGCAACTATCATAAAAAAGAGCATGCACCAGGATTTCTAAAAATGCCTCGTTCTGCTCCAAACAGGAATTATTTTCGCGTATCTGTCCGTGACGTTCGATTTGTCCATGGCGCAGTTTCTCTTTGACAAAAACCCCCTCCCCCCCCCCCTCACACCGCCACAAAACAAAAAACTTTCAGCCTTTCCATTCTAGTGAAGGACGACGACCAGCGAAGCTGTACTATGGTGGGAATGAAGTAATGGCCGTCGGCAAGTCGGCAAGCCAGAGTGGAAAGGCTGCAAAGGTTGCCACGATCTATGAGCGACGCTGGCAAGCAGACAACCGGCAAACGCAACACTTTGGACAGCTACCGCCATCTATGAGCGACGGCAACAATCAAAGTGTAGTGTCGACATTTGTTTGGTACCGGACACAATCCTGTGGAACCTAGCCCTTAACAGCTCCGCTGTAAAAGAAAACAATGGTTTTATGTATGAAAGTGCGAAACTTACGGAAAACGTTGAGGATGATGGAGTCTTCCCAGAGCTGCCCGTCGAGTCTAGGGTTCCGCGCCCTACACGTGAGCGTGGCCTTGTCCGACTCCGCCGTGAGTACGAGCAGGAGCACGATGGCGGTGACGTTGGCCTTCTCGTCCGTGAAGAACGGTTCCAGCCTCTGCTCGTCCAACCACCAGGATACCTGCGAACAGATGTGTACACATGCGGCTGGGCTCAACCAGAAGGACGAACATGGCATCGCTCGCAACTTTTTTAGGCTGAGAAACTGAGGTCTGTACCGATTTGACAACTGCACGATTGTCAATGACGGGATGAGGAAGGTAGGTAGGTGTTTTCAGAACAAGCTTCCTGCCTTTGATAAGAGGCCTTAGTAAAGACGTTGTTTTCGTCCTGTCAGTGCCCACGAACCTTTCCAAGAAAAGGCTCCTGGCCGGTTTCATTTTCAGTGTTTGTGCGTGTGGCGTGTGATTCGCTCGCTTTACAAAGCGACGAACATGCGTGTGCTCGGCTAAGGAGATCGCACGCTGGGCTGAGGAGTCCTAAATATTGGAATGATGTGTAAACGTTTTTTCAAAGAAGGGCACAGCCATCTTGAATGTCGTCATTTCTGATATGCGCTGGAACATTTGCTTTTATTTCTCCCCGCCACTGGAAGATGCAGTAGTGATACACGACCGCACGCAGATACGATGCTCATCCAGATCGAAACAGGCAGAGGGTGGGGATCGAACCCAGGACCCCCGGATTCTGCAGCGCAAGCTTTCGCTCCACGTGCTCCGAGCTGGTGTGACACGCGTCCAATCGCTGCAATGACGACGATAACCGAACCATAACAGTAGAGAGTTTTAGTAGATCGTTCCGATACCTCCGATAGCCCCGATAACGATACTATGCATGCGCACGGGAGGCGCGGTGGCGGAGTATCGGGTATCGTTATCGGAGTCATGGGAACGATCTACTAAAACTCTCTAATGTCTGAAACTCAGCGCGTGTCCTGTGCATTACCACCCCCGGCGCGTTGCTATGACCAAGACTGGTGGCCTATAGGCTGTGTTCGAAAATTTACTCTATCCGACTCCGGGGTAAAGGTTTTGTACCGTGGTGTTTCAAAACTTACTCGCGCTTACTCGATGGCTCCACAACTCGCATTCCAGAAGCGGGTTGTTTACTCCGGAGTATTTACTCACGCTAATTCCTCGATCGGGGGGTAACGTTGGATCAAATCGAGTGAATACGTCACGTGATATCTTTGTCGTCTGCTTTCTGAGCCGACAGCCGTCAAAGCTCGCTTACTCCGTTGGCTTTGGTGGCGGACGTTCGAAATGACAAAGAATAAGGTGCAGCCATTTATGTGTGGTTATTGCGACTTGCTGTTTTCAACGCAGGAATTGAATGCATCATATGCAGGCCGTGCAGCTGCCTGGGAAAGTATACCTGTTGTTATTATCAGAGTGCGAGCGTAAACAGGATCTTCTTCTCATCCTCGTCCTCAGCGTTGGAGGGAATGCCGCATTCTCGCGTTCAAGGCTGAAAATGTTCGAGTGCGGTAAATGATGTGGAAGTATTTTTGTTTCCCCCGGAGTGTGTACAATGAGAGGATAACGCTTGTGAAGCAGTGAAGGATTCGAAGATTTCGTGTATATGATCAGTCAACAACCTCTCCCCATCTCACTCCCCAAAAAATTGCCTTTAGAGGTTTGGAAGTTTTCTTTGTGAGTTTGTTATCTTATTTTCGTAAAAGCGAACTTAAGTTACATATCACCATGGAGCCTGGAACGCGTCTCCGACTGGTGTGTTTATTACGTCCAAAAAAGTGGTCCCTCGATTTCCTCCTGATGACGTCATAGAAGTGTCATGCTGTCGCCGGTCGCGATCCTGGCGGCGTCCCAACAGCTGTGGCGTATGTGGCAGACGCCTGTTCTGCTGCAGGTCGTTCTCCAGTGTGGCAGTCCACGGAAGCTTCGGCAGCCAGAAGTCAGGACGCCGTGACGACAGCGACACTCGCGTTCTCTTGTGCTTTCGCCAGCACTTCTACGATCAACTGTCAGGATCGCGACATCCTACAGCCTGACACTCCGCCTTTTATGACGCCATTTCGGTGCCCACACATCGAAACTGGTCCCCTTCGGGAGCAGTTTCGATGTATGGGCAGAATAGGACGCTGGGCAAACACACCCGCCGAAGACGCGCTCCAGGCACCATAATATCACTTTTGAAAAAGCCCCCTGCGCTATACAGCTACGCCGCGTAGAAGCACTTTCCGCAAAACGTAGCCGGTGCAAATTACAATACGTGGAACATATGCCTTTGGGACCCCTGGACGTGATTTACAGCGATCTCGCTGATTAAAAACAAAATTCTGATGTCTAACTGAAAGGAGTAAGTAATTTTGATCTCAATATGCAGCCCAAAAGGAAGGTGACCAAAAGGAGCTGGTGGGGCAATCTCAGAAAACATCGCGTCGTCATTAATATCATCGTCTTTTCAAGTGGTTTCTTTACGATCCAAACGATCGTCTGCTACTTTCTGTCACCGCTGCTGTTTTTTTTTGGTTGTTTTTTTTGCGGTAGCCCAAGACGAATCCAATCCGCGTAGTATCCAGGAGATTATCCCGCGGCCGTTTCAAAATCGAGCCGTGGATCGTTTCCTCGCGTCGTCACGTAGACAGGCTACTCGGGTAAGATTCGGAACATAGCCATAATCGGCTCCAGATCACGTGGCCGCTTGTTCTGGCTGCGATTGAGGGGGTGAAGGCTGCTCTTTTTTTTTTATCTTTTTTTGTAACGAACGAGAGCATGTTTCATAGGTCATTAACGCCAGAAACTAATTTTAGGCGGTATGTAGGCAAAGTAAAAAAATCGATGGTTCGCACCCCGAAATTCCAGAGACGATTGACGTCCCCAAGCCACTCAATGCGAGCGGTAAATTTTCCTGTCGTAAGTAAATGGAGAAAGCATCCGACAGCACCCGCTTTTTTTTTTTTTTTCAAAAAGTGAAAACGTGGAAGCGACCGTAATAGCCGATTTTAAAGGAACATTTATAAGATGCGCTGTGAGCATGCGCGAGCTCTCCCGACACTTGAGCGGTGGAAACTCGCTAATGGTTTGATGGGGGGGGGGGGGGGGACATAACTAATAGCAGACAGCACTTGCGGCGGCTGAGATAAGAACGTTACTCCAAAGTAATTTTCGTACGGCCGCCGCTAGATAGCGTATCAAAATTACTTGGTGGGTGGGATAGTTTGCTGTCCACTGATAAAAATAAAAACCGCAAACACCAAGAAAAAAAAAGAGGGGACAGGACAGACCGCTCTGTGCGGTCCCCTATTCTTTTCCTTGGTTTTTGCGTTTTTGATTTTTAGCAACTAGATAGCGTCTTTTTACGGAAATACGGAAAAGGTTAGGGTGCTTACATGTCTGTCTCAGGGTAAAAACATCGCGTGTTGCACTGAGTGGGCGACTTGTTCGGTAAAATGGGCTCTGCATTAACCAAGGCTAGCCAAAGCAATCATAATTTTAGGCACCAAGATGGGTAAGTGTGGTTGCTCTGAAGCGTAGCTTATTTAGTCGTTCTAGCTCAAAATATCAAAACACCGTGCCCCGATATTTTTTTTTTCTTTTTTTTTTTTTTCTCAGCGCCGTTTTTGTATTGCACATCAGGCGCTATGGAGATGGTTAAGATACAAAAATGCGGTTTCGTGAGCTTCAAATTTGTTGTCACGAAGACGAAGCGATAGAATGTTGATCTGTCGCGGACTGTTTAAATATTTGTTGACGGCGAAGAACGGTCACTGCGACTTCGGATACATAATCTGAGAACTACAACAATGGTTTTAACCAACAATATGACTAAAGTGTCCTTACTCTGAAGCAAAGCTTATTTATTAGTGGCTCTACACTGGTTCTCACATAGAAAAGTAAGGTTTGCGCATTATGCATGCGCTGCGCGAAGTAGCTCTTACAAAATTTAGTTCTCGAAGGAAGAAAATGTGCTTTTGGCGCTTGAAACGTGCAAGTATTGATAAAATAACACTTCATAAAATATACACCCAGTCCACATACATCTTATTTCAACACATGGTGGGGAAATTAGTATCTAACCACGAGGAGCCGGATTTTTTTTTTTTTTTGCCCTTTTACGGTTCTGGAGGTACATACAAGTACCGGCTACTCGTGACTGCGCTCTCGTTTTTGTCCCATAGATGCATGGCCCTGCGTACAACTTGCGACAGTAAACAAACATGAAAAAAAAAAAAACAAAAAAAAACGTAGGTATCAGAAACCAACAGTACGTCTGATTGTCCTTTCCTGACCGGAACAGCCCAAACTCGGGGTCACCCTGGCGAAGCCTATAGCTTGGCAACCGGCAGACAACACTTCCAGACCGCAGACCTCGACGAGCGAGCGAGCGAGCGAGCGCCAAACCCATTTCCTGGAGCGGTGTTGGGCGTTATCCCAATCATCGTTGCTCAGAACTCGACCGTCGGCTTTTCTGTGGCCTCCATCATCACCCTCCACGCTCGCTCGAGAACGTTCAAATTGCCGAACCAAACTTTCGTCCGACGCCAGGGAAGTCACGCGCTCGAATTGGGCGAGATAACTCGGTCCGTCGAATAACACGTTGTTCGAATTCTAGAAATATCTCGCTCAATTTCTCCACCCGCGTGGTATTCCGTGTTGTTGTTGTTGATGTTGTTGTTATCGTTGTTGTTGTTGTTCGCCAAACGTTAAACGCTCGACGCCGCAAAAAGTCCTTCCGGGGAAAATCTATTTTGTCGAGCGGCGTGCCGCGGTGGAGATGCGAGTCAAAATAAAGCGCGTCGAATTTCTTATACCGACGGTTTATACAGCGGAAGCTCTAAAGTGTAGAGGCGCGCAAATATGGTGGATGCCTTTTGTCTAAACTACAGAGTAAAAAAATGCATAGTGTAGTTTCGCTTGTGACCGGGAGATGATATGTAAATTGAAACTTCAGACGATTAGTAAGGTTTGTAACAAAGTTGTTTTAGTGATAGACCTTTTCCGCATTAAGTTGGCACACAGCGCCGGACGTATGCAAGGCCAGTTTTGGAGGAACTTGTTCTTAACTTGCTTTAAATAACACTTCTGCGAGGGAGCCACCTGCCCTTTCGTTTTTTTTTCTTTTATTTATTTTTGTGTTAGTTCCAAATCAACGAATAAC